GGGGGGGGGGGGGGGGGGGGGGGGGGGGGGAGGAGTATGTTATAGCGGAAGTACCCGCGCTCCCTGTTTATGTTCGTATCGTGGTGGCCGCCATCTTTGATTTTATCATAACCGCCTTTGACTCACGCCGGGGGAATTCAACATGGCGGTCATCAAGCAGAAACATTCGCGTACCCGAAAAAAAACGCCTCTAATAAAGACTAGGGATGGATTGAATCGGGAAATATTCTTGATTACCTCTCCTCCATACCTTTAAAGGTAAAAGGTAAAGTAACCATATTTTTAATACGTCGATCCTCGTGACAGTAATAACTGATAAACCTGACGTCGACAGTGCGGTCATTTTACCCCTATCTCCATTAGCGCTTCGTTTTTAAGGGTATTTAAAGCTAGACAAAGCTACACAGAAAGGAGAGAAGTTGAAACAAGGATATGGTGTCACCGCGGATCGAACTCGAGACCTCGCACACTGAAGGCCCGCACTCTAACCAACAGTGCCAACCTTGCTTTTTATGAAGTAGTGATAACCACAACCTCGTCCCCAGGGCTTTCCCTTAAAAAGTGGGTGGCGCCCCACCCATTTTTTAAGAGAAAAGCCCTGGGGACGAGGTTGATAACCAATAATAAAAATATACTTACAAGCGCTTTTCATCTCATGAAAAGAAAGCATCAGCAAAAGTAAAACATTTACGGAACGCATTTTGACCTAAAATTAAAACACAAAATATATTGTGTCAAAGCATGATGATGATGGTGATGATGATGATGATGATGATGGTGGTGGTGGTGTTGGTGTTGCGCTTAGTCTGAAGGCCCACAAGAAATTTTCGAGAAAAATTCGGCAACAATTTCCTATTTTTGACCAGAACGTCCCATTAACACTAGCTTTCAATGACAGACTCTAGAAGTCAAAGAAATTCGGTAATCAGCAAGTAATGCTGAGCCATGAACCACAAGGCGTTGACAAGGACCGGACAAAAATACTTTTTTGCACACCGCAGGACGCTGGCGTTGTTAAGGGCGCTAGGGTTTAAGTGACAAGCAATAAACTTCCTACCGCGAAAAGCAATTAGTTTCTTTACCGTTTGATCCAATCATCGGTCAGTTATTCGATAAAGCGTCACATTTTTTAACAAGATTAAGGCGGCATCTGGCGATAGGGTAATTGAGAAGAGATTACAATTTAACATAAGCCAGAGATTTGCGTTCGGAAGAAGGCTTTTCTTTTTCTTTTTGATATTTATTTAAAACAATACTGTTGCGATCCGTTCACGGAGAATCTCTGCTAATGCAGTTACATTTCGAAAACAATATTTTCGTGGTATCGCGTTCTCCTTGCGCGCGTCCTTTTGCTTTTAATCACCTGGAAACTTTGGTTTAACGTGGTAGTTGCAAAGAAACGTTTCGGCGCGGCCCGCACAATGTAAATAAATTTAAGTAAAGTGGCCAAGTGTTCTGAAGTTACTCTCCTTGAAAAGATATTTGTAATTTTTAAAATAAAATCGATGATGTATTTACGGAGGTTCCGGTTATCGTTTGGGGACAAAAGCATATTTTTATTGTGTTAATTGCTCCTGTCGGAATAAAATGTCATATGAATTAGCGAGATGACGTGCGAGTAATAAGTTACAGGGGTTTCTCCTGGTTTCCGACCTTCGGTCCTGCACTATGTTGTTAACACTTCCTTTGTTTTAAATTGCGCAATCGGTCAATTCAGATGACCGTCGGGCACGTATCTAAGGCTTGCTGCTCATCATGCCCTAGGCAGCGTAGACCACAGGGAGCCCACACAATCTGTTTGTATAGCCGATTGTTATTTTATAGTAAATGTACTGGATTTACCGTTTGCTTCACCTATAGCGATATATCGCTAACTATGTATATAAATCAATGATAAATAAACGTTGAATTACCTTACCTGTGGTATACACTCGTCGTTTTACCTCAAAA